ACAAACAACATTAGTGGTAAATTGTTTGTTAAACATCATCAAAACAAGAAAGCCAACAATTGATACTATTACGTATTATTTTAAATAATACGTTGTATTATTTTTACTATCACGTATTGTTTCTTATATGTTGTATTATTATTACGTATTATTTTATACAATTTGTTGTATTATTTCTACTATTGTATATTATCGGTTGTATTAGTACAACTGGTACGTTTTATTGTGTAGATAATTCTTCCATAAATATTTTTTTTAAATGAAAGTAATTATATTTTTTATTAATTATTCTCATTTAATTGTATAAATTATTGTATTATTTCTATTGCTGCATATTATCGGTTGTATTAGTATAACTGGTACGTTTTATTGTATAGATAATTTTTCCATTATTATTTGATTTTAAATGTAAGTAATTATATTTTTTATTAATTATTCTCGTTTAATTGTATAATTTGTTGTATTATTTTTACTATTGTATATTATCGGTTGTATTAGTATAACTGGTATGTTTTAATATTTAGATAATTTTCATATAATTATTTAATTTATTTCATAATTAATATTATTTTTAATTATTTTTCGAACCCTAATTTCCTTTCAAAAAAATATATATATACACACATTATATGTGAACCCGTCGGCCCGCGTATCGCTCTTCTCTCTCTCTCTCTCTCTCTCATTTTCTTCTCTCTCCCCTCTTGTTTTCTTCTCTCTCCCCTCTCAATCTCCCTTTCCGTTCGAACATGCTGCCACCCACAACAGCAGCCTCCTCACCCCATCACGCCCCTCAACCCACTCCTCCTCCTTCTCCCCGCCAACCCCTACCTCTCTTCCTTCTTTCCTCGCCTCTCCCCACGTTCGTCACCACCCTCCACCTCTTCCACCCAAACAGCCCTAAGATCCGTCGCTAACTCTCCCTCTCGCTTCCACCTCCGGCCACCAGTGCTTCCTCCGACCCTCGCGTCATCCAACCCACCGACCACCCTTCCCCACAGACCCCGCAGCCTTCACCCGCCGTTCACTCGTGCCGCCCTCATCCCCTGCAGTAGCTCCTCCTCCTCCGTTTCTCCCTCCGCCTAACTCCAGCAACAAACCCTAACCCTACGTCACCTCCGTCGAGCCGCCCTTGACCCGCGCCTAGATCCCTAAGCGCCTCCTCGCCATGCTCCCCCATGCCAGATCTGATCCACGCCATCGACGTTGATTCGTTCGACGTACCAAAGGCAAGATCCCGATATTCTCTGACTCATCATTCAATTTTTAGATTATATTGTAGCGTGTATATTGTTATTATTTGTGTGGGCTTGTGGATGATTAATATTAATAATGATATTATGAGAAATAAATTAAGAGAAATTATTTTGGAAAAGGGTTATTTTTGAATAATTATTAAAATAGATAATTCAAATAATTTATTTTGAAAAAGAGGGTTATTTTGAATTGTTAAATTATTTTGGGAAAAGATTATTTTAGAATAATTATAAACAGATTAAAGGAATTTATTTTGTAAAAAGTTTATTTTATTTGGATTAAATTAATTTATAATATTGTGTTGATTGTTGTAGACCACGACATTTTATGTGTAAAACAATCACGGTTTTCAATTTCCTTTTTTGACCGTAGTTGTATTTGATGTTTTTAGTTGCTGATAATTTTTATGAGTAGTTTAGAAGTTTAAATAACAAGATATTAATGAAACTGGACTGCATGCATGATTCTACTGTTCATAATTACATTTTATGTTTTGCGATTTATTTTAATGTATTTGACTTGTCATCATGTTATTAACTAGAATCAGTTAGATTTATTTACTGTTTCTTGATGTATTTTGAGAACCAATAGTAGTTCATGACTTAGTGGCTTTGTGAGTGATGAACCAGACTTAGTGACATGTGTGAGTGCGTTGACTGAATTAGGAGGTGGACCAGAGATTTATTGTAGGTCATGTTGTTGACTTAGAAAAACAAGAAGAGTGGGGATAGAGAAGTCCTTGTTCATGTGATCAGATATAGCTGTTGATGTATCTTTCAGGCTCGCTCCAGCATCCAGTGTAGCTTGGGGTTGGTTTGTTGGGTCAAAATGAGGCCAGTGTAGTCACTTTGGTTCGTGAATTTGACATTCATCCAAGTTTAGCTTGAGTTCGAACCATGTTAAAATCGGATTGCGTGTAACCCTCTGACCAATCCGGTGTAGTGGTGTATTGGGTGCACGTATGGGATTTATGAACAGTTAGTTATCCGAGAATATGAACATTGACTCTGTGTGAGAGATGAACCAGTGACCTGTTATTGGATGGTTAGCTGTATGACCTAGATTACCAGTCGATTATTTTTAGATTCTTCTGATCGCTATCATAGTAGTGGATTGCATTTAAATTATTAGAATTTCAATGCCATGATTCTTTTATTATTATTCTTGCGTTGGTCATTCGACCGTTTTATTTTCTTCCATGTGGGATCTTGCCGTGTGCCATGCACACTGATGTACACATATTTTCTCTGGTGTACGTCAGACTTAGGGGATGGACAGATCCAATTCGATGATACATCAGAGCCGGTGTATGCCCAGCCGAAGTGTCTTTCCGATGGAGTAGAAGAACAAACTGAAGCGTAGTGGTTTTCTTCTGTAGTAGTTATGGAACATTAGAATTCTTTTACCGTATTTTTCTTTAGTTGATGATGGATTTAGTATTTTAGTAGTACTTTCTTTTATTATGGACTATGTATTTTTATATTCTTAGTTGGACCATTTTTACAATAAGGGTATGTTTGACCCATATTTTTTTATGTCTAGGATGATCTACTTTTGATGATATATCTATTTCTTATTCTGGGCTGTTATTATATTCTTGATATTGTGATCGGGGACCTATGACATATATTCTTTTGCTTAACACTTAGCGTATTAGATTGAGAAGAAAAGAAAAAGAAAGAAAAAAATTTAAGTGTATATTTCTCCTTAATCTAATACGTCGCGGGCTTGTTCACGTTCCGATTCCCGGGTATTTTAGGAAGCGGGATGTGATAGGTTTTAGTGGTGGTCCATGCAGGTCATGGTCCCGAGTCCTCACCAGTAAGAATATAGTGGACAATTTAGATACATATCATATTTCATCCATAAGACTACGATTAAGTTCTTATATAATTATCTTAATAACTAGGTTTTATTTCCTATTTTCCTAATATATTGTTTTGATTTTAACCTTATGTTTGTTGGAAATTTACAGTAAAAAGACAATGAAAGAAAAATTGACTTGTATTCCTCTCAAAATCAATTACAATTTGGATTCCGATTACAAAAGAGATGAGAATGAATTTGATTCTCCCCTTTGTTTAAAATTGGGTTCTTCACGGTGGCGATGAGATGCCTCCCTCGAATGCTCGCGTCGAGTTTGCTTCTCGTTGACGATCCGAACGTCTTGATTCACTAGAACGTGGTCTTCTCCTCACGATTTGACGCTGTGGAGGACTTGTGTGGCAAGTCTTAAAAAATAACTCTTAACGAGTTAATAACTCAGAGCGAGTTTATCTCTATAAAAGAGTTGATTTAAACCGAAAGTTCGGTTAATAAGCCAAGGAAGAAGCTCCTGTTGCTGGTCTCCAAAACTCCAACAATTCCCCTCAAAAGCTAGCCGAAGATCTCTTCTTTGCTTCCCCCCCCCCCCAAAAAAAAGGATCTGAACTCAGTTGAGTTTCCCACTATTTATAGAGGATTAAGGGTGGTAACTACCCCCTTAATCCGCTCCTCAATAGGCTGAGTGGGGTGTAACCGCCCCCTCTTAAACAGCTCCCTAAATCGTGGGGAAAACAGTTTTGAAACCGTTCTGTTAGTGCTTTGAACGAGTCAAAACGCCAATCTGGGCGTTCTGGACCTTAACTCTGCGTCTTAGAGATGAGACGCAGAGTTGAGTGCTTGTTGGGAGTTGAAACGCACAGGCCGCATGCGTTTTAGAGATGAACTCTGCGTTTTAGGCTGAAAACGCAGAGTTGGGCCTGTTTCAGGCTGAAAACGCACAGGTCGTGCTGTTTTAGAGATGAACTCTGTGTTTTAGGCTAAAAACGCAGAGTTGAGCCTGTTTCAGGCTGAAAACGCACAGGTCATGCTGTTTTAGAGATGAACTCTGCGTTTTAGACTGAAAACACAGAGTTAAGCCTGTTTTATGCTAAAAACGCACAGGTCATGCTGTTTTAGAGATGAACTCTGCGTTTTAGGCTGAAAACGCAGAGTTGAGCCTGTTTTAGGCTGAAAACACACAGTTGGGCCGTTTTAGAGGTGAACTCTGCGTTTTAGGCTGAAAACGCAGAGTTGGGCCGTAACTCTGCGTTTTGATGTTATATCCCAAGGATAACCTCTGCGTTTTAAGGTTATAACACTGGTTCGACCTGTGCGTTTTGACTCTGAAATGCAGAGGCGAACCTTAGGCGGGCTTGGCTCCTTGAAAATATGAGAGTCGTCAGATTGTAACTCCCGATGTTGATTGTGAAGGCTGTTGAATTAGAGCTTTCATCAGTTGTCGTGAAGGTCGTCAGATTATAGCCTTCTACGTAAAAGTCCTCAAATTGTAGCCTTCTAGAAGTCGTCAGATTGTAACTTCCATCATCGGTGTTTGATGGGGGATCAACTATCTATTGTGATTTTTAGACAACCTACACCTTAGTTTTCCTTTTAATCCTTATTTTCCTTCAGAACCATGGTAGGTACGCGTGGCTATAGTAACCCGTCTGGTAGCAGTGCCCCGCCATCCGAAGTGGACTCGAACTAACTTCTAACGATAATTCAGGGATTGGTTACTAATCAGCAGCACCTGGCTGGATAGCACAGGGAGCCACAACACCAGCCTCCCCCCTCGCGCAGAGTCTGGTGTTAGGGAATTCCGATACATGCGACCCCCTTCCTTCTCTGGTGCTGAAGGACCTCTAGCAGCGGAGGAGTTCTTGAAGGTTACCGAGACCATCCTCACGGTGACCCGTATAGCCCATGCATAATAGGTAGATCTTATGGATATCCATCTCACCGATACTGATCGGATATGGTGGGCAGCTAAGAAGACCCATCTGGAGAGGCCAATCCTGTGGGAGACGTTCACAGAGCGCTTCAATAGGAAGTATTTTCTTCAGTCGACTCGGGACGAACTCCTATGTAGGTTTGTTGAGCTCAAGCAGGGAGGCTGATCAGTTGATGAGTATGAAGCCGAGTTCTCTTTCCTAAGTTGATATGCTCCTCACTTGGTTGTCGACCCTACTATTAGGAGGCATCAGTTCCAGAAGGGTCTGGATAAGTATATCAGGTTTCCTCTAGCTGGTAGAGCACTTGCGATCCATGACGCTATGCTGGATGCAGCACGTGAGATCGAGAGTGTTCAGAAGAAACCTGAAGACCCACATGTGATTCAGTGCAGGGCATCGGTAGTTCCAGCTAGGAATGTTGAGCATCCTCCTTAAAGACAGTAGCAGAATCCACAGAGGCAGCAGCATTCTCAGTATCAGCCACCCCCTCAGGTCCACCCCTATCAGCGTCCTAGAGTGCAGTATCATGGCCAGTCTTCAGTGAAGTGTACCCATTGTGGCTAAACTAGGCATACCTAGCAGGAGTGTTGCAGGCGTCTTCGTCTGTGCTATGCCTGTAGATCCCCCGATCATGTCAGTTGGAACTGTCCGCAACGACAGCAGGCTAGCTTGCCCCCACCTCCAGTTCGAGCAACTCTTCTAGCTCCACCTCGATCAGCCTCAGTAGTTCCAGCTCAGTACGAACCCTACCCTCGAGCAGAGCCTCTTCCTCCACAGCAGCAGGTTTATCAGGAAGCGCAAAGGCAGCAACCACCGCGTCAGATGTTTATGATGTCAGTTGTAGAAGCTAAGGAGAACGATCAGGTTATCACTGATAAGAATTGTTCATCTTAGTTTTATTTGCATATGAACTTCCTTATTTAGCACTACCTGATGATATCATGATAGGATTGTTTATGAGTACTAAGTTAGTTGCATTTACCTTCTCCTATAATAGGCAAAGTTCTTGTTTCTTCCGTACATGCTTTATCACTCTTTGACTCTGGAGCTTCTCATTGTTTCTTGTCTCGTCGATTTACGAGTGCCCACTCTCTTCCTATAACTCCTCTGACTACGGGCTGGAATATCAATACGGGCAGTGGTGTTTTAGTAGCATCCAGTGGTTATGAAGCATGCCCTGTGGTCATCTGCGGGAGGGAACTCTTTGCAGGCTTTCTGGTGATTGATTTGCCGAGCTTTGATGCAGTATTTGGAAAGGATTGGTTGGGGTCATTCTTTGCCACCATTGATTATTGCCGACGGAGCGTAGTATTTGAGATACTAGATCACCCGAGGTTTGAGTTCCTCAGTGGCAGCATATCGACCGAACCTGTAGAGTACAGAGCTAGACCAAAGAATGTGACGTTAGCTACAATGCAAGTGGAATGCGAGAAGCCAGTTGTAGTTCGAGAATTTGAAGATGTGTTTCCTGACGATATTTACGGATTACCACCGGATCGAGCAATTGAGTTTTCCATAGATTTGAAGCCTGAAGTTGCTCCGATCTCCAAGACCCCTTATCGTATGCCTTTGGCTGAGTTGGCCGAGCTTCGGACTCAGTTGGATGATCTTTTGTAGAAAGGCTTGATTCGACCCAGTGTATCGGTCTGGGGAGCACCTGTGTTGCTTGTGGGAAAGAAGGATGGATCCAAGCGGATGTGCATCGACTACCGGGAGTTAAATGCAGTGACAATGAAGAATAAGTATCCACTTCCCCGTATCGATGATATCTTCGACTAATTAGAAGAATCATGAGCATTTTCTAAGCTGGATTTGTGGAGTGGGTATCACCAAGTGAAGGTTAAGGATTCTAATGTCTACAAGACTACATTCCGAACGAGATATGGACATTATGAATTCTTAGTGATGTCGTTTGGTATGACTAATGCACCGGCGATATTTATGAACCTGATAAATCAGGTATTCTATGATGTACTGGACAAGTTTGTAGAGGTCTTTATTAATGATATCTTGGTGTACTCTAAGAGTGAAGCGGAGCATGCAGAGCATTTATGGTACGTGTTGAAAACCTTGAGAGAGCATCGGTTATTCGCCAAGTATAGTAAGTGCCAGTTCTGGCTAGATCATATTGCATTTCTAGGACACATGGTGTCAGGAGATAGCATATCAGTGGATCCAGAAAAGGTATTTACAGTGAAGGATTGGTCTACCCCTAAGTCGGTGTCTGGTATTAAGAGCTTCTTGGGATTAGTTGGTTACTACCGTCGCTTCATCAGAGATTTTTGGAAGATTACGAAGCCGATGACGCGACTTACAAGGAAGTATATTAAGTTTGTCTGGTATCACGCTTGTGAGCAGGCGTTTGAGGAGTTAAAGTCTCGATTGATTTCAGCCCCAGTCCTGACGATACCGGATAAGAGTGGGAACTTTGAGGTGTTTGCGACGCATCAGGTAGAGGATTGTGATACGTTCTTTAGCAGGATAGTCATGTGGTAGCATATGCTTCTCGTCAGTTGAAGAAGCATGAGCAGGATTATCCTATCCACGACTTGGAGTTGGTAGCCGTGATTTTTACCCTTAAGCTTTGGAGGCATTATCTGTTAGAAGAGCAAGTGAAGGTGTTCACTGACCACAAGAGCTTGAAGTACATATTTACTCATAAGGAGCTCAACATGAGGCAACGCCGATGGTTAGAGCTGATGGCGAATTACAACATTGACCTTCAGTACCACCCTAGCAAGGTCAATGTGGTACCAGATGCTTTGAGTCGGTTGTTGTCGATCATGACCCTTACAGCTCAGTGGAGACTTTAGCAGGAGGTGAGAGATATGAGTATAGAAGTTCTTCTTCCAAGAGTCACCACTTCTTTGATGAATCTCCAGATTCAATCGACATGGGTTGAGCGAATCAAGGATGCACAAGCAGGTGACTCATTTCTTCAGAAGTACAGAGAGTTAGCAGCGGCTGGTATTCGATCGGAATTTATTATTCATGAGGACGAATCCTTACGATTTGGGAGTCGTATCTGCGTACCAAGAGGAGATGTTCGAGAGGAGATATTACGGGGAGCTCATAGCTCCCCGTACTCTATTCACCCTGGAGATACAAAGATGTATAAGGATCTGAAGCTGAATTTTTGGTGGCGTGGTATGAAGAGAGATGTGGCTCGTAGTGTGGCTAAGTATCTTGTATGTCAGCAGGTAAAGGTAGAGCATCAGCGCATCACAGGTCTTTTATAGTCATTGCCTATTCCAGAATGGAAGTGGCACCATGTCACCATGGACTTTGTTACTGGCTTACCTCAGAGCACTAGACAAAATAACGCTGTTTGGGTGATCGTAGATCGATTAACCAAATTGGCTCACTTTATTCCTTTCCGAGTGGGATAGTCGACGGAGCATCTTGCTCAGAGATACATGGAGGTAAAATATTTATCTCTATATATTCAATGAGTTCCTTTCCCAAGAGTGTTAGTAAATCTCTAGTATTGTAGGAGATCGTGCGATTGCACAAAGTTCCAGTGTGCATCATTTCGGATCTCGATACCCGATTTACCTCAGAGTTCTGGAAGAGTTTGCAGGCGAGTTTTAGGACCAATCTCAGTTTTAGCATAGCTTATCATCCTCAGACCGATGGGCAGTTATAGAGGACCATTCAGATTTTGGAAGATATGCTTAGAGCTTGTATGCTTGACTTTCACGGGTCGTGGGAAGATCACTTGTATTTGGTGGAGTTTGCATACAACAATAGCTTCCAAGCTAGCATTTGGGATGGCCCCTTTTGCAGCATTGTATGGGAGGAAGTGTCGGTCTCCGTTGAGTTGGGACGATGTTGGTGAGCGAGAGATTTTTGGGCTGGAGTTGATTGACAAATCAGTTGATGCAGTCAGGATTATTCGGGATCGACTTTGCATAGCGCAGGACAGATTCAAGCATTGGGCAGATGCGAAGCGCCGGCACTTGAAGTTTCAGCCATGAGATCATGTGTTCCTGAAGATTTCCCCCAACCGAGGCATCATTCACTTTGGAAGGCGTGGGAAGTTGAGTCCAAGATATGTGGGACCTTTCGACGTATTAGAGAGAGTTTGAAAAGTGGCGTACAGACTTGCATTACCACCTGCCCTGGCTGGAGTGCATAACGGATTCCACGTCTCTCAGTTGCGGAAATACATCGGAGATCCGAGTCATGTTGTAGATTTCTCGGAGATTGAGGTGCGATCCGATTTGACATACGAGAAGCAACCTGTGGTGATTTTGGACCGAATAGAGAAGACCCTCCGGAACAAGATCGTCCTGCTTGTTCGTGTGATGTGGCACCCAGATTCTCCTGGATAGTCGACTTGGGAAACTGAGTCTGAGATGCTACAGCGATACCCTCATCTATTTCCTGAATCTTAGTTGTCCTATCTTGTATCTTATTTTGAATCGTCTTGTATGACTATTTTTATTTATAAATATACAATATATTTTAAACTTTATATGAGTTGAAGTGAATCTATCTTTATATTTCGTCATTGTTTAATTCCGAGGACGGAATTTGTTTTAAGAGGGGTAGGATGTAATGACCGTAAAATTTTGATATTAGTTAAAATAATTTTTAGTATTTTAAAATATGATTTTTTTTAAGATTATTTGTATTTTTCTTGATTTTCTAGAATTGTCTAAGATTTAAAAATCTGATTTTATATTTATTTAAACGATTTAGATATTTATAAATTTATTTAATGTAGTAAAATTTTTTAAAATTTATTCGTTGTGTTATCGATACTATTACGTATCATTTTGAATAATACGTTATATTATTTTTACTCTTATGTATTATTTCTTATAATACGTTATATTATTATTGCATATTATTTTGTATGATTTATTATATTATTTCTACTGTTGTATATTATCGGTGGTATTAGTACAATTGGTAAGTTTTATTGTGTAGATAATTCTTCCATAATTATTTGTTTTTAAATGTAAGAAATTATATTTTTATTAATTATTCTCATTTAATTGTATAAATTGTTGTATTATTTTTACTGTTGCATATTATCGTTGTATTAGTATAACTGGTACGTTTTATTATATAGATAATTATCCTATAACTGGTACGTTTTATTGTATAGATAATTATCCTATAATTATTTGATTTTAAATGTAAGTAATTATATTTTTTTATTAATTATTCTCGTTTAATTGTATAATTTGTTGTATTATTTCTATTATTGCATATTATCGGTTGTATTAGTATAACTGGTACGTTTTAATATGTAGATAATTTTCATATAATTATTTAATTTATTTCATAATTAATATTAATTTTAATTATTTTTTAAAACCCTAATTTCCTTTCATATATATATATATATATATATATATATATATATATATATATAGATATATAGGGAGAGGTTCTAATAAAAACCTAGAGAACTAAAAACCAATCCTAACCCTACATTCTATTTCATCCAATGGCCTAGATTTCGATGGCAGAATTGTAAATATAGACAAATTTAATACACTGCATTAATGTGAAAAGGGTAAAATTGGAACAATTCATTGCATTAATGGTGACTGATTACATTGGAACAATGATACAAATTTAATACACGTCCTTTAATACTCTCTCTTACATTAATAGTGCTACATTCTTTAATACTCTCTCTCTCTAACTCACTTCCCGATCTCTGTAAATCTCACATGAAGAACACAACAACGCATTGAATCTGGATTCACTGAATTGATCTTCAATCCAGATTCACTCCAACGAATTGAATCTGGATTCACTCCAATCGATTTGCTGCTCCACTGGATTTGTGAATCATTCTAACCATCCAAGCAGAATAAGAAACTTATGGTAAAAAACAAGCTATAAAATTTTATAACATGAAAAATTTTCACCTTTTACAGCAAAAAGTTATGATTTTTATGGTAAAAAACAAACACCTCACATAATTGAATCTGGATTCACTGCAGTGAATCGAGATTCACTGAAGTGAATCTAGATTCACTCATGCGTTTATTGAAGTAAAAACAAGCTGGATTCACTGCAGTGAATCGAGATTCACTCATGCATTTATAGAACGTGTTTGATGATTTTAAGCAAAAAGTTACAATTTTTATGGTAAAAACAAACACCTCACATAACTGAATCTGGATTCACTGCAGTGAATTCAATTATTTAGGACAGCAACTAAAACAAACCCCACAACTAAAATTCTGAACTTTAACCAATTTTAACAAAAAAACTAACAGGATTGCAATTTCTAAAATATTTTAATAGAAACCCTAAAAAAGATTGCAAATTTTGAAAGATAATCCAACAAAACAAACAACCAAGATCGAGTATAAGAGAAACCCCAAGCTAAAACAAATCCTAGAACCAAGATCGTAACTTCAACAATTACCCTAAAAAGAAACCAAAATCAAATTGAAATTAAAGAAAAATGTGACGAACCGAGGCGGTGCTCGAGCTTGAAGGAACTCTTGGCCATGGATCCCTTCTTTCTATCATCCCCAATACATGACGAGAACAAAACCATGATCAGATCAAAAGAAAATAACACCTACCAAGAATCAAATCAAACTTAGAATATAACCTACCAAGAAAATATAACACCTACCAAG